AAGTGAGCTTCTTTCAGCTAGAGGACCAGCACCTCTTAGGAAAATGGAATTTGACGATGTAGGAACAGGTTCCAAGATCCCGAAGATTGATTCTCCGAAGAAGAAGTACCCTCCGTTCAACGTAGGAAGAGTATTTGAGCACAATGATGAAGAACTACCTGAAGCAGAACCAGGTACAGAGGACATTTTCTGGGAAGATTCATATTCGGACATTGGCGATTCCGATGAGGAACAAGACATCTTCAAGAGCGAAGATTCTGGACCTCCAGAAGTTGCAGAAGCCCAGTTGCAGGAACTGGATCGTGAGGCAATGCTCACAGAGATCAACAGACTCACCGAGATGAAGGCACTGGCAAGGAAACCCTTGCAAGAACTCGAGAGAGAAGAGGAGAGAGAGACAGAAGAAGAAGAGAGCAACCAAGGAACAAAGTGGTTGACGACGAAATTCGTCTTCGATTGGCGATTCAGGAACGGCCGATGGATGCGGAGAGCTAGGTTAGTAGCGAGAGAGTTCAAAGGAGCAGAAGTAAGGAACGACACGTTCAGCCCAGCTACGAGCGCATCGTTGGTGAGACTTATCCCGATCTTAGGATTACAACAGGAACATTCCCTGTACTCCATTGATGTCAAGGACGCATTCTTGCAGGTCCCACAAAGGACTCGATGTGCATGTCAATTCCCGAAGGAATATGTGGATCTGTTTGGCGACCAGGACCCTAGTTGTAGGAACGAAGGTTTGTTACTGCTTAGAGTACTTCCAGGACAGCGAGATGCAGCACTACTATGGAGTGATCATTTTGCAGGAACCCTCAAAGAGCAGAACTTTGATAGGAGCAAAGCTTGCCCTACTTTGTTTCGTGACGACAGGAACAGCATACTTGTTGTGCATGTAGATGACATTCAGGCAGCAGGGAAAACAAGGCACCTAGAGCCCAAGCTAGGAAAGCTAGGAGAAACCTACGAGCTAAAGGTTGAAGGCCCCTTCTTGACAGAGCAGGAACTTGAGGTAGGAGAGTCACACCAGACAATCCGATTCCTTAAAAGGAAATTCAGCTACCACAATCACGAGCTCCACATCACGAGTGATCCGAAGTATCTTGTGAAGCTTAAGGAAGAACTGAAGCTTACCAGCAAAGCCTCAAAGCCGACTCCGTGCACCCAAGAGTCGCAGGAACAGGACAACACTCAGACCTTGAACCAGGAACAAGCGGCATCGTTCAGGAAAAGCGTTGGCATACTCTTGTATGTCAGTCAGGACCGCCCTGACGTGCAGTTTGCCGTGAGAGGTTTGGCCTCCAAGATGTCGGAACCAACACATGGTTCTTGGAAACACTTAGTCCACCTAGTGCAGTACATGTCGAGAACTGAAGGATACCATTTAGTGTACAGGAAAACGCCTAGAGGACTCAGTAATCTCCATGAATCCATCAGGAATGGTAACTACGACTTTACAGGAATAAGGCCCAAGGAACACCACCTTTTGGAAGTTTTCAGCGATTCAGATTGGGCAGGAAAGAAGGACACAAGGCGCTCAACATCTTCAGGAATTGTTTGCCTAGACGGTCAGTGCATTTACTCCTTTTCTAGGAACCAGAAGTCGGTTAGCTTGAGCAGTGGTGAAGCAGAGTACTACGCAGGAGCGTCAGCAGCGTCAGATTCTATATTGTTGAAGGAAGCAGTAGAATTCTTGACCAGGAAACAATGCAAGGTACACTTGTACATGGATTCTTCTGCAGCTAGAGGAATTATTACAAGGCAAGGTGTAGGAAGAGTCAAGCATTTGCAGATCAGGACCCTTTTTCTTCAAGACCTCCACAAAGAAGGAACAATTAGTGTTCACCCAGTAGGAACCAAGGAAAACACAGCCGACATAGGTACCAAGCCCCTTTCAGCGAAAAGGATCAGACTGTTGTTGCACTGGTTAGGTTTTCAAACCAGCGAGAACGAACCAGTAGGCAGAGAAGAGCTCAAGGAACACAAGGCCCAAACACAAGCTAAAGCAGTTGTAAGAATGATCAAGAGCCCAGGAACTTTGTCTTTTGCAGCTTTGTTGTTTGCAGGAATTTCAGGTATTTCAGACAGTCTTCAGATTCAGAGTTTCAAGGAACAGTGTTTTGAGAGTTGTGTTCAGGAAGAAGAGTTTCAGCCAGACTTTCAGGAACATGTTTTCTGTTGTGCAAGTGCATGTGAGCAGGACGGCATGTGCAGTGACACGAGTGCATGTGAGCTAGGAACGTCTGCAGGAACAGCTCATGGAACAACATGTTGTGAGATGCTTTCGCAGCTCAAGGAACTCTGCGGAACACTCGCGGAACGCTCAGGTATCCAGGAACTAGTTCGCCCGGTAGCAGAAGGTCAAGGAAACCTTCCAGGAACCTTAGCAGCCATGGAAGCAAGCGCGAGTTCGAGCAAAAGCACCGAAGAAGTGTTCAAGGAACTTTCTACCTTGAGAGAGGCGGCAACCGCCTTAAGGAACGCTTCAGAAGAAAGGAACTTGATCGCGGAGTCGATCAGGAAGAACACAGAGGAAGCTGCGCGTTTGCGCAAAAGCCAGGAACACGTGGCTGGTTGTGTGGAGTCCTTGACAGGACAAATCTACGACGTCAAGCACCAGGTTCAGGAAATGGCCGAACAGAACGACAGAGACCGGCAACAGGTCAAGGAACACATGGCCTTCGTCCTAGGTACATGTGACGCCGTAAAGGAACAGCTGAACCAGATGATGCAGGACTTCTACGAGCAGCAGCAAGAGGAACAAGAAGAAGAGGAAGAAGACGAAGAAGAACAAAGGAAAAGAGAAGCCAAGGACCGAGAACTAGAAGGTGAACTACGTCGTGAAGGACACGGACAAGGAACAGCACCGTCGAGAGCTACGTCACCTACGTCCCAGGAAAGGAAGGAATATTCGGACCGAGGCTACTTCGAGGGCATCCAGGAACGAGAGCAGGACAACGAGAACGAGAACGAGGCCTACGTCAGCAGCTACGTTGGAGGAGAAGATCCCGGGGAGTACCCCGATGAAGGAACAGCAGCAGCAGCAGAGGAAGAAGAAAGTGAGGAAGCAAAGGAAGAGAGAAGGAAGAAGAAGATCGCGGAGATCAACGCCAAAAGCAAGCAAAGGCTCAAGGAAAAGGAAGAGGAGAAGAAGCTCTTTCCGTACCCCTACGACTACGCCAGCGAATGGAAGGAATACTCCGAGAACGGCGAGATCTACAGGCAACACAGAGTTACAGGAGAAAAGCAGTGGGTCGACAAGGACTACACGTACAAGCACGAGAAGGGAACAAAAGGAAAGAAGGAAGGAAAAGGAAAAGGAAAGCCAAAGGCAAGAGCAGAAAGCACAGGATTTCGACCTCGAGATGAAGATGATCGCAAATACTGGGAAGAACAGGACAGGATCTCAAAGGAACAAAGAGAAGCAAAAGCAAAAGCAGAAGAGGAGAAGAAGGCAAAAGAGGAGCAGATTGCCAAAGCAAGGTTGATTTTGGAAGCGGCAGCAGACGAGCAGGAGAAGAGAGACAAGGAAGCAGCAAGGCAGGAAGCAGCCGCAGCCGCCGAGAGAAGGCGAGAGGTAGAAGCAGCAGCCAAAGCCAAAGCAGAGAGAGAAGCAAAGGAAAAGGAGGAGACCGAAGCGGCAGCAGCAAAGGAGGAAGAAGAGAAAGCAGCAGCCGCAGCAGCCAAAGAGGAAAAGGAAAGAAAGGAGCAGGAGAAGAAAAGAAAGGAGAAGGAAGCCAGGAAGAAAAGAGAGGAAGATCAAAAGGCAGCGTCAGCGTACATTGCCAAGAAGGAAGCAGAAAAGAAGGCAGCAGCAACAACAGCAACAGGATCAGGTGAAGCAGACAGGATCCAGAAGCTTGAAGAAATGATGAAGGAGATGATGAAGGAACGCAAAGAGGATAAAGAAAGGATTGCAAGCCTTACACAGGAGCTTGAGAGCAGAGGATCAGCAGCCGGGTCGCAGGCACCCACAGAACCAGACACAACACCAGCAAAGGAAGAGGAGAAGCCAGAAGCAAAAGGAACAGGAAAAGCAACAGGAAAGGAGCCACCGAACGTCACACAGCACAAGCAGAAGGAAGAAGACAAGGACGACCCAGAACTGTCCGCCAAAGGACCAGTGAACGAAGCATCGTTCATGAAAGGAAAAGGAAAAGGAGAGTTTGAAGGAAACTGGTTTGCAGTCTACAGTTTCCAGAACAGGAAATACCAGTGGAAGTGGAACGAAGCCAAGACACAGTGGTACTGGTATTCAGGATCAAAGGAAACAGGTTGGAAAGCAGCGTCAAAGGACAAGCAAGGAAAAGAAAAGTGCAAAGCGCAAGCAAAGATGAAAGAAGAGTGGCTAAAGGAACAGCTTCAAGACCAAGAGGAAGCTAAAGACAGTGAAGAGGAAGGCAAAGTGAACTTCCAGTGAAGCAAAGGAACCGCGAGCAGTACTGAGGCCAGAGAGCCGAGGAAAGAAGCAGCAGGACACAGGAACCGTGGCACAGCCCTTTTTGTTTCTGTGGTGATCTAGGTAAAGTGCAGGAACGTCTTTTGTACAGTCGAGCAACCTTGGAGAGGATTGCGAGTGAACGTGCGCATACGTTTGCAATGAGGAACAGTGTTTGTTTTGCAAGTGAAAAGGAACTGCAGCGTGTTTACTGTTTGTTCAGGAAAAGTCGGAGTCACCTCAGTCGAGGAACTTTCGCTAACTCCGAAGGCGGGGTGTTAAACATTCTGCCAGGAACAGTAACACAGCTAGTGCAGTACAGTTAATGTACAGGAACAGCCGTCACGCACACGCGACGTGCAGGCTCGAGACCCCAGGACACACCGTGCCCAGGAACAAAAGTGTCCGACAGTCTTTGTGGGTAGGAACCCTTAGTGAAGCCCGTTCTTTAACACATTAGCTTTTCCAGCTAAGGTATTGCCACGAGTTCTACAAAGGCTACATTCACACGACTTGGGACGTCCGCGGAAAGTGGCCGAAAAACGTGGCAGACAGCAAAGGGAGACACATGTCCCCCGACAGTCACTTGGCTCCTTTGAAATACTTTGAGTTTTCTTTCGTCTTCGCCTTCGGTACCCCCTGACCTTGTATGCTGAGATGCCGTCGCCTTCGCCTTGGAGGAAGAAGACCAGGGCCCGGAGGGAAAGCCGAACCCCCTCATCAACCAGAAGTTTTTGTTGAGAATGATGCAGGAAGGTTTTGACGCCTTTGTTGCTGGATTGGTCTTCGTCTTCGGTCTCCGAAGTGGCCATTCCCCGGACGACTGGCACTGCGTCGCCTTGGCCTGTTCCTTTGCTTACATTTGAAAACGGTCCGTTTTTTGTCGCTTGCTTCTGGCACCGTCAGATTGGACCCAGCAGACTGAGGCTCAGCAGGATGCCATCGCTCGCTGAGCATCGCCATCGTCTTGGCCTTCGTCTTCGGCATGTCGCTTTGGGCGCCTTCGCTGAAGAAGGGTTTCGACGACCCGGCGAAGATCCCGGTGCTGGAGGCTGCTCTGGGACGCAAAAACGGCAGCCTCTTGCTGGAGAGGATCAAGGAGCTCTGCGAACATGCAGAGCTCAAGCCATTTGTCAGAAGTAACATTAGAGGATTGTTTGGTAATTTTTGGTTGCCAGTGGCCCACTGGGTCTGTACTTATTTTTGCTTGTTGACATAAGGATCCTCTCCAGTTGCAACAGCATCGGGATATCGCCTTCGTCGTCTTCGCCTTCGACTTCGAAGTCGCCGCCTTCTTCGTCTTCGAAGGAGCTGCCGAAGCAGAAGACCCCACTGCCCAAGGCGCGGCCGATCAAGAGGAAGCCTCCCGCTCCGGCTTCGTCTTCGAAGGAGCCGCCCAAGCAGCCCGATGGACCAAAGAAGAAGCGCCGGCAGGATGATGATGGCCAGCAGCACCACGCCTCCTCCCGCCAGCTCGCCTTCGCCGTCGACGACTCCGAGCCCGAGGCTGTGGAGAATCCCGTCATGAAGCGGGCAACCTGACCTGATAGATGTTTTTGGGTTGTGTTCGTTGGTCCTTCCAGTTTAGGTGTAGCTTCTTCCCATTGAAGTCAAGTCAGGTCAGAACCAGAGTCTTGGACCTGGCTCCCAGCCTCTTCAGGGTGTTGGAGGATCTCGGCGTCGACGAGGAGGCGTGGTGCTGCATGGAGGCCTTGGCGTCGCACCCCAACCCCCAGGGGTTGGGGTTCGCCTTGGACTTCGTCGCCACTGGCATGAGCGGCCTGACAATGAAGTCCATCAGGCATTCTCGTGTCTTTTTCGGTATTGGTGGCTACTAATCAAACTTCTAATTAACTTCTCCCAGATCCGAGGCGCTCTCCACGATCCTCATGCCGGATGGGACAATCCCAGCGCCGTGGCAGTCGACCACTGCAGAAGGCGATCGCGGATTCTCTCAGGCTCTTTGGATTTGTCGAATCGGCAGAAGCTTTTTCAGATGTTTCTTAAAGTTAAGATTCACAAATTTCTAGCCTAATTCCCAACCTGCCTGAGGCCATGAAGACCTCCCGGGCAACTCCAACAAGGGTTCTGTGCCTTGCCACTACATGAGAACCGTTAGGGTACGGGTTACCCTGCTACTTTCTTGGAGCGTCGCACAGTGACGTCAAGTTTTTGAACCCCCTGCAGGGCGCTGGTCCTTGGTACCAAAAAGGAAAGGGCAAAGGTGGCCAGCAAGGCAAACGCCGTGGCAAGAAATGAGTGCCAGGATTAGGAAGCTTGTCCCAAAGTCTTCCGCAATCAGGCTTTTTGCTCTGCGGTCGCGGCATGGCATCAGAGTACCTATTAATAACAAAGTCTTGATCTAACAGTCTTCGCCTTCGCCTTCGACCGAAAGAGCCGTCTGCCTGCACATCAACTCTGCTGCGTGCACCCAAAAGAAGTCGGAAGCTCTTCCAAAATCTTCCGCTAGTTCAGGCTTTTTGCTCTGCGGTCGCGGCATGGCATCAGAGTACCTATTAATAATAAGAAACTCTTGATCTAGCAGGCTTCGCCTTCGCCTTCGACCGAAAGAGCCGTCTGCCTGCACATGAACATCTGCTGCGTGCTGCAGAAAGGAGTCGGAAGCTCTTCCAAAGTCTTCCGGTAGTTCAGGCTTTTTGCTCTGCGGTCGCGGCATGGCATCAGAGTACCTAGTTAGTAATAACATACTGTTGATCTCACAGTCTTCGCCTTCGCCTTCGACCGAAGAGAGCCGTCTACCTGCACATCAATTCTGCTGCGTGCAGCCAAAAGAAGTCGGCCTGGATTCACACTTGTGCTGCCATGACGACCCCTGAAGCCCTGCGGCCTCATGCTGTTAAGTTGTCGCGTGGCCAGGTGCTGAGCTGCAGATTCCAGTTTGGATGCACGGAGCCTCAGGGACCGAAAGGACCATTGCAGAATCATTCATGTCTCGAAGTTTTTTTTAAAAAATTAATCTTGTCTAATCCCAGCAAGGCCAAAAATCTTGCAAAATAGAGAAAGAAAGCCCGTTTGCTTAGAGCCCCAAAGCGTAAAAGCTCTTTCATTGTAATCTGCAAACCCCCTGCCTAAACCCAGCCTTACAGCAGGAGCTCAGGGTTCAAGACATTCCCAATACACTAAATCAAGGGCTGCCTACTAGTCAAACTGGCACAATGGATATGGCGTTGGCTTCTGTGGCTGGACGGAGCTAGAGTGGCACAGATGCACTTTTCCACAGGGCAGGATTAAGAACTGAAGCCATGAGAAATATATCAAGGTTTCGGACTCGGGCTTTTTTCATTTAAGGAGGTTTTCGGCTTAAGATTTCATTCAGGATGCAACTCTTCAGCTGTTCTTGCACTGGCATGTGACCAGCAGTGTTCAAGATCCAGAGATGTACCTTCCACTTGACTATGGAGTCTGAAAGACTGTTGAGTATGGAGTCTGAAAGACTGTCCGTTAAGCCTAGGGCCTAAACTGATTCAAAGTGGACACAATATAGCTACCCTGCCTTGCCAGGCGACTTCATGCAATTCTATGGCATCGGTGCCAGGTGCTTGCAGAAGCGAGTGGGGGCATTGAGCAATTCTCGGCCATTCCTTGTTTCCGGTAAGCAAGCATGTCCGTTAAACTCTGTCATGCCGTCAGTATGTTAGCTTGTGGCACTTCAGTTGTCTGACTCTGCGAAAGGGCCGGCCGCCAAGTAGTGTTTACAGACACTCGCGTCTCCTGCATGACATGCTCCTTTGCAGAAGTTGAGTCCCGCCAGTGTGGTTCTTGAACAAGTCACAGCTCACAGACTAAGCGGTTCATGCTCTGTCTGTCACCTCCACCTCCCCATGCCCTCAGCAGCCCGATGATTGCTGGTTTTGCCGAGGCTCGTCGTGGCTGCACCGCTCTAGCAGGACCTTGCATTGCCGCTCCTGAGTTGGATTCCTTAGGAGCCATAGTGTCATTCATTCCCATTGCCTGTGACACGAGTGTTTGCATCTAAGACAGGAACCATTGCATGAAAGAAACAGGCATGCAGTGACAGTGATGCTGGGTTTCCGAAAGTACTCACAGTTGACTTGGCCGTATGCTGACTGACCACCGTGTGTTGCTGTCGCTGTGTCATGTGGCGAAAAGGAAGAAGAGGACAGAAGCCCCAGTGTCCTGTCATAGGAGACTCTAGACATTGATGTAAATCACACATTTATATAATATACTTTCGGAACCTCAGTCCTGCTCAAGCTTGCAGCAACCTGTCTCACTCGCCTTCGAAGGCGTTACCGATTAGCTTTCAGACTTCCCTGCATCTTCAGGTTCCGGTTAAACCGGAACTTGGCCTTGGACTTCCGCCCATGGCTGCCGAAGCTCCACCGGATCCTCGACTCGACCCCGGATGTCGCAAAATCTCTGAGAGAGGTTTGTTCCAAGTTGCTGAGAATAACCAGGGCCGGGGGCTCCTGGTTCACAAAAAAACCGGTGAGCGACATGTCGTCTTCGACTTCCGTGACATTCATGTTCACGAGGACCGTGCGTTTGTGAGGCTCAGGAACGGTGACAAGCGGTGGCTAGACAAAATCTTTTCGTGGGCTCTGTGGTCTGTCACAGAGAGCGAAAAAGAGTTCGTCATCAAAACTGGTGAGAACGGGAACACCATCGTCTGGCTGGCAGATTTCCTGAAGAAGCGGCTCATACTGCATCCGCGAGCCGGGGGGGACTCTCGGCAGCATCTGGTCAAGCGTCTGAGCAAGTGGGTTTGACATGAGCTCAAGCAACAGTACTCTAGAGTTGTACAGGCTCTGAGCGGCTCATCAGTTCTGCAACAACACGTTTTTCGTACTACTAGTACTTTACTAGGACTAGTACTAGTAGTACTACTACTACTACTACTACTACTACTACTACTACTACTACTACTACTGTTACTAGTAGTACTACTACTACTACTACTAGTACTAGTACTAGTACGACACAACAACAACTACTACTAGTACTAGTACTAGTAGTAGTGCTAGTACTGCTACTGCTAGTGCTACTACTACGAGTACGACTAGTACTACTACTACTACTACTACTTCATTCTACTACTACTACTACTACTCTTACTACTACTGCTATTACTAGTACTAGTACTAGTACTACTACTAGTACTACTACTACTACTACTACTACTACTACTACTACTACTACTACTACTACTACTACTACTACTACTACTACTACTACTATTACTACTACTAGTACTACTACTACTACTCAACAGGAGCTTCTGTGATCCAGTCTTGCTTGACTTCATGGAATGCTTTGCCGCCCTACCAAAACGTCCTCTTGGCGCTTCAGTAACAGAGGGCGTTCGCACCGCTGGCCGGGTGTGGGGCCCAGGCAAAGGGAATGCGGTCTGAGTCTCGGCTTGGAATGTCCTGCAACCCGCGCCCCAGGGCCAAACAGCCTTGCGCCGGGCTGTCGCAGGGCGATGCGCTAATGCGCCTGCGGGGGCGTGGGTAGGCAGACCAGCCGTCAGTACCGGATCCTGGGAGGCATTGGGAGGCCACTTGATTGTCACAATTCATGATTGCTCTGCTTGAGTGGCGTTCGTCTTCTTTGCCTTACCTGGGGAGTCAAGTGTCCCCTGGTACATTGACTGGCCTTCGTCTTGGTCGCCTTACCTGGGGAGTCAACCCCTGCCCCATCATCTGGGTTGCTCCCCACACCGTTGGCCGGGTGTGAGGCGTTCGGCTTTGCCTTGAGGCCAACCTACCCCACGGCAGGGGGGTAGATGACAGCCGGGCATATGGGCTAATGCGCCGTGCTGGGGCAAAACTGGTTTAGCTGGTTTGGCCAGGCCAGACTCCAGACAGTCCGAACAAGTCAGGGAGGCCGCTCGTTGTTGTGACATGACATGGCTGTGTTGAGTGACCTTGGCTTGTGCTGCTTGCGCATGGTTTAATTTGCAGTTTTAGAAACTATTATTACTACTATGATGTTGTAGTGTGAGGGGTGTGGGTTGAGGTTAATGTGTGACAGTCGCAAGAGGTCGCCTGAAAGCCTCAAAGGGTGGCATGCTGTGTCCCCTTTCGCCCTCAAGCCGACGTCTAACCTGCCATGCGGGTCTTCGGACATGCCAAGCGGGAGCCAAAAATTACTACTACTACACCTACTTCTAGTACTGCTACTAGCGTGGTAGTACTAGTAGTAATAGTAGTAGTAGTAGTAGTAGTAGTAGTAGTAGTAGTAGTAGTAGTAGTAGTAGTAGTAGTAGTAGTAGTAGTAGTAGGAGTAGTAGTAGTAGTAGTAGTAGTAGTAGTACTAGCCACAGGACTAGTAGTAGCCACAGGACAGCATGACTACAAGAGATAAGACGGTGAGAGGACCCTTCGTGTCGGGGATATTTCGCAAGAGATCGCCTTGTTGCTCTAAGACTGACAAGGCCATAAGGCCCCATAGTGCTTTCTTTTTGTGGTTCCTATTAAAGATCCTATAAGGCAATCCCAACGAGGAGCTACTATGGACGGAGAGACAAACAGCACGATTGCAAGCAAGAGAGCGACATAGACAGACAGCGACAGAGCTACGGAGATGGAAAGAGAGAGAGAGAGAGAGAGAGAGAGAGAGAGAGAGAGAGAGAGAGAGAGCAAGAGAGAGGAGAGAAGAGAGGAGAGAGAGAGAGAGAGAGCGAGAGAGAGAGAGAGAAAAGAGAGAAGATAAGAGAGAGATAGAGGAAAGAAAGAGAGAGCGAGAGAAGAGAAGAGAGAGAGAGAGAGAGAGGCGGTGAGGATAGAGAGAGAGAGAGAGAGAGAGAGAGAGAGAGAGCCGAGAGAGACTTTCGTTGACTTGTCCATTGGCATGGCATGTTTGTTCTTGGCATGAGCTTGACCTTGCTTGCTTTGTCGTTGTCCTTACCCACGCAGAACATGCGAGACACCGTTGGCCGGGTGTCGGGACTGAAGTGCCATACGTTCCTGCTTCTGGCCAACCCACTTCGGTGGAGGACAGCAGAGCACATGGGCTAATGCGTCTGCTGGGCAGGATCCTGTGCTCACCCGTTCGGTAACCCTCTCCCCCTGACCGTGCGGCCGGCGGTCACGTAGGGGTGCTTGCTTGCCGAGCGGGGACAGCCCAGTGCCTTGGCGCCCACTTGGGGGGGAACTGGGCGAGGGT